AAGCTTTCACATGGCAAATTTTACTCCATGTATGTTAAACAAGGAATTATTTTATCCTCTTCGTTATTCTTCTGAATTATTGTATCCTTCTGGTTACCCACAGAAGCAAGAAAGCAGGAGAGCTGATGTTTCACACCAAAGCCCTGAATTCTTCAGGAATGTTAAAGGAGCACCATAATTTTTCCTCTTTCTATAAGAGTTGAATATTGCTTATTTGAAAGTTGTCTCCTCTGCCTTTTCCCCTGTCCAAATGGTCTTACTGTTGTCACATAGATTGAAAGTAACTAACCAAGGTAAGTCCCCATTGTCAGAGAATTGAGGGGCAACACTGTGCAGTGTTTTCTCTGGAGTTTTTTTAATTGGGACTCTGCCTGTGTGCTACATGTCCTTTTGATTTTCAGCAAGCTTGATTTAAATCATAACACTGGAAGTAAAATGTGTATGTGTGGGGGGGAAAGGTTTTTCGAGTAGTTTGAGTAGTGAAAGAATTTATAATAGAAAATAAAACCTTTAAAGTTTCTTTTTCCCTCTTCATCATTTGTGTGGTTAGTCTGCTGCTAAAAGTATTTATGCTCCTATCTCTAGTCTTTCTAATTGTGAGCATGTTGCCTTTTCCCCCTGCCATGCCGTGCTTTTTAATTCTACTTGTTGCTGTAGCATCCAGAAGCAAATAACATGATCAAAACCTCTTAATGCACTTTACTGTACAGCAAAACAGGAAGACATCATTTTTCCAGTCTCCAAAGTCCCTATCCTTCGCCATCTTTTGGAGGTAACTTAATATATTTCTTACAATATTAACTATTTAGCTATGTGCATATGTATATATATGTATCACCTTCCATCCATCTGTCTCCTCCTCCACCAACCATCATCAACTGTTTGAACTCCTGTGGTTACAAGAGCAAAGATCAGGTTTGAGGAAATGCTTAGATGAATAAATGTGAGAAAGAGGTAGAAATATGAAATTTTAAAACTTAATTGATGGTAATTTAAAGTCTTGAATTCTCTCCGCTTCCTCCATCCTACTTCTAAGTGCCTCTGGTCACCCTGCCTTCATCTCTCTGCTCTCCCTTCTTTTCCTTCTCTGTTTAGTTTCTTCTCACCCTTGTTGGTCTGTTATAACCCTCATTTGTATACAGGGTATTTTCCTCCCTTTTCCAGCAGTTTCTTCCCCTTGAGCACTCTCATTTCTCTCTCCGTTGCTCCCCCCACTTGCCTGAGATTTTCAATCATCACTTCATGGCAGTGTTCCCTGAACCTCCCCGTGCTCACACTGCTGTACCTGCCGCGGAAAGAAAAACACATTACTTGATTCATTTTAGAAACGATTTTACAGTACGTCAAGATAAAAAGGCTTGGGGATATAAACAAGCTCAGAAATGTTTCGAGATCAGGTAGATGTAATTAGAACACAGGCTGTTGATTAGATTACTTTATTTTGCAACAATGGGAGTTTAATCACGTTGGAAATTGGTTACAGGATTTCTTGTGGTGATTAGATATTTCTATCATATTTTAGTCATCTTTAATTACACAAATAAATACTAGTTGTTTACTTTTTTGGCTTACTTTTTTCCTGTCAGTGTGCAGACAGTGACTAGGCCTGCTGCTCAGCAGCCATGGTAAGTGCAACCAGGCTCCTCACGGCATCCACAGAGAGAGGAGGAGAGAGCTCAGTTCTCTCCCTTTGAGAGAGGATTGCTCATTACCTGTTTCACAATTCATCCCTCACGCTCATCAAAGCTCTGTTTACTTCTGTTTTAAACCTCAGACAGCAAAGGAGAAGTTATTATGTCCAGTTCAGGCTATACAGAAACATCCTTCTTGAGCAAACCCACAAAGACAGCACCGCGGTCCCCGAGCGGCTGAAGGGAAGCTTGGGGCTCAGCTGATGCACCAAGCGGGGTCAGAGCTGAACTTGGATGTCACAGTATGTCCTTCCAGAGCTCTGTGGAGATGTCCCAGGTGCTGTATTCCCCCGGGGATGTGATGACAGTGCTGAGGAATACATTCAGTGCAGGTGGCTCAGGGGTGCATGTTGAGCTCTGGGTGGGAGCCCAAGACAAGAGGCTGTGAACTGCCAACCCTTTGCATGACAAAAGGCACAGGGACCACCTGTGGCACAGCCAGGTGAGGGGCACCCAGAGACAAGGCAGGAGCCCATGACTCGGGAAGAAGAGCGAGTCTGACATACCTGGACTAGGAGAGAAAAAAAGCCCAGGGATTCCTTTGTTCAGAGACCCTCCTCAGAGGCACCAACTCGAGCTGTTTCTGTGTTACTGCACCATGAATAAATTGCTTTATGGAATGAGTCGTCTGACACACTAATATGGGAAGCTCGTAGTCAAACTGATGAGGAACCAAGGAGAACTGTGTAAGTGGGGTGTGCAGGGAGTCAAGAGGGGACCTGTTGGGTCACTGGAGCCACTGCTGTGAAAGGACCTCAGTCCCAGCAGTGAAAGTCTGTGGTGCTTGGAGTGTGACTGCCTGAGAGTCTCGGGGATGGTCACACTGGGAAGGTTCCTTAACAACAGGGCTGGAGTTTAAATGGCTGTTCCTGAGCTATGCAGTGCTGTAATGGCAGAGCTGGCCCCAGCTCCTCTGCACTAGTCTGCTGTGCAGATGCACACACACAGATGCACCATGTCCCTTTACACATGTATGCACATATATATACATATATACACATATGTATATAGTGCTAGACTGACAGAACTGATTTGGGAAACAGCACAAACTTGTCAGCTTTCTTCCCTTGGCCTATGGGGCTGCAGCCCCACTGGACTGAAAGTTGCCTGCTCCCTGGGCAGTGCACATTAGCTCCCCGATGGGTTCTGTGTCACCAGTTTATTCCCAGGGGAGGGAGAACAGAGCTGTCAGTGGGGGATGGCCCTGGACAGGGCTCGTGGCAGTGGGGGATGGCCACGTTAGGCAGATGCAGACTGCCATTCCCACAGGTCAGGTTTGATACCGTGGACGTATCAAGGTCAAATGAGGGGAGATATAAACACTCCTCTTTGGGCTTCTGCATGCAGTGTGAGAGCTTCTTGTCCTTCAGTATGATAGAGGGATTTTATGGGATCCCAGGAGATTTAATGCACCAAGCTGGACCTGATGATAATCTTACAGGAAAACAAATTCTTTTTTTTTCTCCCAAAAGCCTTCCACTTTTTTGAGCCTCTTGGATTGGCTTCCCTCAGCTACCTGGTCAGATTATTCACACTGTGCCTGGACTGCCACCCTTTCACAGTTTATATGGCACCTAAATCCCAGAAGGCTCAGCAGACAACAATTCTATGGCTTTAATAATATATTATATAATATATCATAACTATCCTCCCATAATTATTTCCCAACTGCAGATAGATATTTTTTCTTTTTCTTTTTTTTTTATTCCTCTTCCTACATCCGCCCTGATGTGTTAAATATGTCTTTGGTGATGGAGGTTTGCAAGCAGTCTGCTTCAAAAGTTTAGGCTACACATTGTCTTTAGGTAAGTGGCACAATTTTCAACTTTAGTGTTCCTGTAGCATTAAGAAGTAGATAACTCGTTGTGCTATCCAGTATTATTGAGGCTTAGGAACCACACTGGATTTATCTGCAAGACTAAATTCTATAAACTAAACTTTAAAAGTTGCTGTTAACAGAACATCTGCCCTGTGACACAAGTCTGTTAGACTTTGGGCAATCTCTGTGTGTGTGTGTATACCCAGACAGCAATATTGTCATCTTGAGCTGTTGTTGCAGGGAAGGGAAAGTGTGACAGGTAGAGGGTTTGTGTCCCTTTACCCTGTAGGTTGATTTTTAAAACTTAATTCTAATGTGTATCCTGCTGGATTCAAACTCTGACAATATGAGAAACTGTTCCTGAAAAATGGGTCAATATGGTGAGGAATGAAAGGGAAAACACTGAGAAGGAAACAGAAAAATGAATTGTGTGATTCTAAGATAGTGTTCATGAGCAGACCACAGAAAGAGGTGGGACTAGAAAGGTAATGATTGTATTTGCAAATGCAAATTTGAAACATATGAAAACCTGTGGAAAAAAATAGAGGAGATTTGAGCAGTAAAATCAAAACTTTGATTAGTTCTTTCGAGACATGAATAGAGAACGTGATCCTCATAAGGACAGCTCTTACTTTTTCTATTAGAGTGAATTTTCAGTCCTGCTTCCTCGCTTTTTTTTTCTTTTAGTTGAAGTTTTTTCTCTGGCAATATTGCAAACTTTTCAACCAACCCACTGTTGCCTTGGTCATGTGTATAGCTCCAGAAACATCATCAAAACTTTCTGTGGCCCATAAGCCTGTCTCTTAATGGTGGAGTTGCCTCTCAGAAAGAGTGGCCTTATATTCCTGGAGTAAGTGCTCATACAGTCTTTCTTTGGGGACCAAAAAAAATAATGTGAGGTTCACAACATCTCCAGCTTAATGTATTTCCCCCCTCCTCCTCGTTTACCCAGTTTTCCAAGAAATCAGTCAGGCAAAGCTGTTCAAATCTGATGCTGGTAAAAGTGTGAAAGTTTAACATAAAAAAGGGAGAAGCATTTCTATATGCCACGGTGAATACCAAAACATATTTGATAACACTGGCTTAAAGTAAGTGTGATAAAGCAGTTTTTAGCATAACATTCTATATTATCTCTTTGCATAATACCTAGCAGATCTTTGGCAGTGTGATCCATTAAGGCAAAATAATACATAAAAGATGCAGTACAAAGAAAAATAAATTGAGGGCATAGATTTCCTTTTGAGCTCCAAGCTGTGCCATGTGGGGAAGCACATTCAAATAACTTCTGTCCACCCACAAAAGCCAGAATGCCTCATCCTTGCAGTTTTGAAATTAAATTCTTGTCACTCTAAGTGATGCTTTGGCTGGGCCACGATCAACAGAACACAGAATTTCAAGGTCTCTGGGATGAACAAGTTCTTATTAACCTATCCATTCTTGGGTTAAAGGCACTGAGAAGTGTCTGTGTTCTCTTGTAGGGAGGTGATAATGACTGACCATGTACCACCAGCTCTTCAAGCTTCTCCTTCCAACAGTCTCTGCTCACAGTCCCAGTGTTTCCAGTGTTCAGTAAGTGATGGTGGGGGATGGTTTGTAGCACAAGAGCAGTTCCCACAGAAGTGTTACAAGAGGTTATTTCCATTGCCTATCTGGATGGAGCACAGTGCCTAGTGACTGCCTACCAGTCCTCTCTTCTGAGAGGTGGCTGCACTTTCTGAGCAGGACTTGGGAGTCTGAAGAAGCTCCCAAGTATTGTTCAACATTATTAAGCAGTAATAACAACGTTCTGCTGTTCCACATCATTTTCAGTCCAGCAGTGTCAAGATCCACGACGTATCCCTGAGACAGAAAATCAGTGTCCTTATTTTAGTGATGCAGATGATGAGGCAGAACGTGGTAATGTGTCTGTCACAAGGACAAACGCAGTAGGACTGGGGTAATGGCAGAAACTTTAATGGGATTTTTCTGTGGTAATCAAAAGATGGCATTTCCAGCAGACCAAGGACTACACTCCAGGCTGAGAGTGGATCTGGGAGGAATGATGTACAATGATTGTACTGATTCCTCCTCCCCTGCCACAGGCTTAATGTTATTTAATGATTGTCATACAGCAGTGCCTCAGGGCTCTGTTCTGCTAGGCTCCTTGCACACAATTAAAAAAAGGCATAATCCTTAACCAAAACCTAAGGTTATAGACTGCATTTCATCTGTTATAACTTTAAAATAACAAGGATTTCCATGGGGAAAAAAATTTTAAAAAAATAACTAAACTGATAGGTGTATTTCAGCCAGGACACTGCATTTAGGGAGTTTTTCCAGTGCTCTCACACAAAAAGGAGATAATTTACTAATAAGTTACATAACAAATCACAGGAACTTATACTAATGATTTTGTCCTTATTGTCATCAGTCCATTCAGATCTTCTCTCCGAGGCAAACTGTAAACGAAAGAGAAGGTGAGATTGATGTGGGATTTTTTAATTTTACTTTTTTAAACTTTTTTCTATTTCACATCTGAGGTGAATGTGCTAAACAGTAAATCCCAACCTGACAGATTTAGACAGGTCTCTGTATAACAAGCACTCTTTTTCAATCTTTAAATGTCACCGCTGCATAAACCTTTTCTATGTTCCCTCCCGTTCTCTAAACCTTTTATAAAACCATTATAATTTTAAAAAGATTTTATTCCTCACAGCTACTGCATAGTGGAGGTAAAACCAAATTTTTCTTTTCCAGGGTGCTGTAACTTGAGATAATATCCAGAGTGCTTGAATTGAAACTTCTGTGAAGAATACACACTCATTTGTCCCCGAACAAGAAAAAATGTGAACATACACATTGTGTAAGTTGCTAGAGATAAAAAAATACCCATAAATATGGTTGTGTCACTTTAAATATTCGAAGTATACTAAAGAAAGTAAATAACACTACAATTTTCACTGCAGCAGCCGACAGCTGGCTGGCTTTAAATCTTAGTGGAAACAACATTTCTGGATGCTCAGAGCCTCCACTGTTCCATTTCAGCTAAAGGCAGGATTACTTGAGCTGTATTATATCCTCCATCTCATTTTCAGCTCTATTGCACCAATTATGCAGCCTGGAGGCTTATAGAGGCTTATATTGAGTTTCAGATAGATATAAGAAAGTCGTCTATATTCTCTGTGATAAAAATAGTCATTAATTACTGAGATTTGTAAACCGCTTAGCATCCTTCTTAATGTGGTACATCAGGCATTTTACTCCTTTCTATTGCTAATCACCAAAAAATGTGTGGAGAAAAATACTTCAGGAAGAATGTGATCTTTCTTAGCTAGAATTGAATGCTGGAGTTAGAGGGATGTACAGAAAAGGCTTAGCCACTTCAAGTATGAATTTGGTTTTCAAGGGCTTCATTGTTTGTGTCTATAAAATCGATTAAACGCTGATATTGAAGGCAGCCCCTTGTGCAGGGTTCACCAATATAATCAAATGTCTCCCTTAATCTGCACAGTGGTGTGATGGCATATTAAAAAAAAAATAAAAAATGAAGCCTTATCTAAATGGAAAAGATGTTTTCAAGTGAAGGAGGGTACCAGGGCGAAGTAACAAAAACCCCTTTAGACTTCTTTAAAAGGGCAAGAACAACAACAAACAACTGTTAAATTTTCTATACATGTATAGAATGTATAGAACATGTACCAACAGCTCTAAATATGAAATGGCTACTTGTCATTCATCTGTTGGTGGGCTTTCATAAGATAGAAGAAAACTGATCAGTAATAATTTAAAAACCCCATTCAAATCTGTTTTGAAATCCCTTAACTTCATATTCTAAGTCAGACAGAATAGACCAAGTGAGTACTTAGTGAATAACTTCAGCTTTCATGGGTTATTGTGGTGGTTGTTTCTTTTTGGTTTGGGTGTTTTTATAACAACAAGATATTCAGTCTATTAGAGGAAAACCCATTTAACCTGTGTGGTTTTTAAACATTTATTTCCCACATATTTTTTTCTTAATTTGAAAAGTCTCCATTTGCAGGTTTTTTTCTTGGTTGTCCTGAGATGGATGATTTAATTACAGAAGCAAATGGTTTTAGGTCTTTTATGGCTCCCATTACCACAGTAGAGAAATGCCTCTCTGTGCATAACTTATCCACATAAACTTGCCTGTAGAGTTGGGAAACAACAACATGGCATCGAGATGTCCTGTGCCTCCTGTTATGTGCCTCAGCCACAGTAGTCTGTGACAGCTCAACATCCAGCCAAGAAAAAAAAAAAAAAAAAGTGTGATTTACTCAAGAGTCCTCTGACTTTACACCAAGGAGAAACACAAAGTTGATAATGCCAGTTTCACACCAGCTTCTCTATGGAAAAATGGTGCTGGAGGAAATAATGGTGTGTAGATTACTTGATTGGACCAAAGAGGGATAATATTAATCCTAAAAAAATCCATCTATCTTGCATCCTTTAATCACTGCAGCTGCAAAAGCACCATCAGGAGGTTAGTTTTTACAATAGAATTAGTTAATGTGTATTTACTGGAAGTCCACTGGACTGACTAGAAGTACAACCAGAGTCCAAAACAAGGCAACAGTGAAGACCAATATGTTTAGAGGCATTAACTGTATCATCTATTGCAGAGCTGCACCAGGCTGCAGCCTTGGAGGATCATTAGGAGCTCAGCATTCATTGCTCACTGCAAAGTCCTTCAGGACCAAAATGAAAACAAATTCCAAAACTTTTCCGAGATAGAAACTTGGGACAACTGAATTTAGGGATCATTCCTTGGCAATACATGTTTTGGAATATTTATGTATTGCAACACCCCCTAAGAGCCCAGTTGTGAAGCAGACATACACACCTCACAGCTTCCAAAATAATATTCCATTGCTGACAAAAGGAAGCCTATTTATTTTTTCACAATTGACGAATTTCAAATATGTAATCTCAACCTGATTTTTCTAATATTTTCTTCTTACTTTTCTTCTCTTAATAATAATAAGACCAGATAGGGTATTACCTCATTTATTTCTGTTTGTCCATGGCCCTTTTAGGTCTGTACCTCTGATGTGATATGGGAATTTTGGTGATGGAGTATCCAAGTACTGCATGTGGTTTTTGAACTTCTGTGAGCAAGCAGAGGTGGATAATTCATCCTGGCAGTTTTGAAGTGCAATAAACACCAGGAACCTGAAAAGAGGTAAAGTTTTTCAAATTATTTACCATTAATTATTTTTTAGTGAAGAGTACACTTAGCATTTTAAAGATGCAATGAAAATCTTATGCTGACTGAGAAAAGCATCTGCATGAAAAACAATTTCTTGTTTTCTCCCACGATGTATTCTTATCTTTTAAACTTTATCCGGTGTTGTTCCTGACCTTCATATTTTTGCAAGCCAACAATTACTACTCATGGCATTTTCCATCAGATTTGTTCGCTGTTATGTATTGCTTCTAAAATTACACGTCTCGTCCAGTTTTAATTTTTTTTTCATTGTCACCAATAGTATTAAAGATTGTGTCATGACTGGGCACCAAAAGTATTTGCAATGCTGTGGAAAGGAGAAATAAGCTTGTTAAAAAAAAAAACACATCCTGATTTAATGCTTTCATAATATTCCTCTGTTTATTTTTAATAGGAAGTGGGAAAACCTGCAATACAGATTTCATAGCTTTTAAACACTAATTTACTCTTGATACTTTTTTCCCCCCAATTTGCCACAACAAGATAATTGTACTGACTGTGCAACGGTGAGTGAGAAAAGATTACAATGTGTAGCATCCCAGTGTTTTTGACAGCCTGATATATTGCAGCTTGAAACATGTGAGTCCTCTCAGTGTTATTCTCTCATGCTCATTAAAACTGAGAACAGGGTTTTGGAGTCTGACACTGCTTTTCCTGCCTGTTTCCAAGGAAGAGCAGAAATAAGCCATTTGCACTGGTGACACAGGTCCCATTCACATGTTCGTACTTGTGACCAAAGGGCTAATTTCCTGTTTCAGTTTCATTCTCATTTTCAGCCTGAGGCTGAAGGGAAATGATGATGGAGTTGGCTAAGTGGCACCTCAAGCATATCTGTGAAATCACACGACAGCATTCTGTGCTGACTACAAGTAAGGGCAATACCTGGCTCTGCAACCATTAGTTCTGTGAGATGCTAGCCACGTGTGTTTAGTGGAGAGAAGAAGATCAAGTCCAATAATTTTTGTTTAATATGAGCTTTGAGCACACTCCCCGGTGCAACCTGAGCTTTCTGTCACCAGCTCAGCTGTTATGCGGCTCTTGTCCTGTTTGCAAGTTGTCAGGTAGAAACACAAGGGGTAGGGAGAGAAAGCATTTGGCTTCTTTCCTCAGAAGAGAGTTAGGATGTTCTAGAGTCAAGCTTCTTATTTGGGGCAAACAAAGCCCCTTTAGACTTAGCCATCAGAATGCAGAGAAACAGCATTATTGGTGGGGTTTCTGCTAAGAGACTGAGCCCTGAGCAGTCGCTCAAAAACCGGTAACTTGTTTCATAACAACTCATTTCCTCTCTTTATGGAAGTATATCTTGAGTTTTGGTAGAATTCAGACCGTGTCCTGCCTTCTTCCCCATGAATCCCCACGGATAACAGAGCAGGAAGCTTCATATAAGAGAGAGGAACAGGTCACGCAGCAAAAATATCAGTCCTGGAAAGAAAAGGATATTCCTGTCAAGTGTTTAAACAATATATGCCCCTTTTTTTCTTAAAAGGGGAAAAATAGGTGTCAATAATTCTGTCATGTGCCTTAGGATCTCAGGGTTGACACTTGACATTTGCCTTGTGTTGCTCACATACCTCTATGGGCATAAAGGTTTGATTAGGACTGTGGTAGTTTAGCAGAACATGGTGAAAGGTGGATTATCATTCCAGCAGAGAAATGCCTCAGCAAGTCAATCTGACTTTTGTTCTTTGACTTTACTATCTATCTATTTACTATCTATATCTATTGTATACTAGTCAAACCAACTTTTTAGATTTAATAGGACAGTCTCTTCACTTTGTGAAAGTTGCAGTTCACTGGGCATTATTCCAAAAAGCATCCATTTCCAGCACTTTCAGGGTCAAACCTTTCTTTGCATCTCTGGTTTACACTAAGATTGCACTGTAGCCATTATCCTTTGAAAACTAAAGACAAAGTAGAAGTGGCTTTTCCCTCTCATTTAATCACCACCATTAAGAGTTACAGTAGTAAGGGCAGTGTCCAGTGGCAAATTTCCACATTTTGAAATACTGTGAGGACTGCCAAAGCCTGACATAGGACATTTTAAATACTGTCCCATGAAAAATATAAAAAGCCAAAGTTTTCTATCTACTCGGCCAGCTGAATATTTAGAAGAAAAATTAAGGTGACTTTTAAAAGGTTATGTGTTTTAGTGAAGGTGCAGTGTTTAGAGTAGAGTAAGGATTTAAAGCTCAACAAACTAAATGGTATAATTTCTATTTTTTTTTCCAAGTAGACAGAGCACTGCTGTATCCCACCTGAAGAGAACTCTTGGGTTTTCCCCTAAAGGCTGTGAATAGTTAGGCTTTAGGTTCAACTTAAAGCTGGGCAAATAATAGGAAAAAATAAATCAAAAATATTTGGATTTATGTTGAAAGGGAAACACCTGACCATGTCCTATTGATTTTTATGTTCATCTCTCCAGAAATATTTGTATTCATGTGAGTGAAATTTTATTTGTACCAAAGTTTGAGAAATAGACTTTCAGGTTGTAGGCTGAAATCAGTTTGGTAGTATACCAAATCCATTTCAGGTCAAAGTGAAAGTAATAGATTTCTGGTTTTAAATTTGTCAGAAGGCTCTTTTTTCTCTCTCCCCTTTTCCCCTCTCTCTTCCCTAGGAAGCACTCAGAGTAGGAATGGCTCATGATATCAGAAAACATGCCTCCACCGAAAGGGTGGTCAGGAAAGCGATGGAATCACCATCCCTGGAGGTATTTAAAAGATGTATAGGCATGACACTTAGTTTAGTATCATGATTTAGAGGTGAACTTTGTAGTGATGGGTTAATGGTTTGACTCAGTGGTCTTAGAGGTCTTTTTCAACCTAAATGATTCTATGACTCTAAATGACCCAGTTCCTTGCTGTCCCAGGTGCTGCTGTTATCTAGCTCCAAATACAAATTCAACACTCAGTAGAACAATTCAGTATCTCCAATAATGAAACTCTGTAATATTTTGCTTTTTAGAATCACGATAGAATAATCTTTAACAGCCACATTGTAAACATTCTTTTATACCTCACCCTGGGGTGACTGTTGCTCTATCTGAATTGGTTTTTTCTCTCTCTTTCTGTCTGTCCGCTACAAACTTCTTCCCAATCAGTTATACACTTCTTCCTAATTAGAACCACCCTGAGAAGGACATGCTTTTGAAAACAATTTGAATCTTGTCCTTGAAGTTCTAAACAAAATCTAGGGAGACCTGATCAAAGGAATTTCCTCCTTCTTCCTGCACATCCTGCTGCCCTTGCTGTTGTCTCTCACCTCTGTGCAGGTGATATCTGCCACTGAATTAGGAAGATGTACTGAGACTTCTTTGAAACAAGCAAATCTTTGCTGAAACACACTCTTCCAAAGGTTCAGCAAGAAGATATTATTCTTGTAGTGCTAACAGTAGGATTATGAAGACCAAAATATTCATGCCTGCTCTTCGTAAGCAAGCAAAGAACTATGCTGACAGAGGGGTCTGCGAGGAGGACAGCTGAACCAGAAACCTTTGAGGCAGGCTGGATTCCATGGCACACAGCCATGAGGGAAAGTCTGGCCATTAGGTTTTGTAGCTAACTTTCTTAAAATGATCCAAAATATCTGGCCAGAGTTATTTAGAGGTGCTCAGAAACGCACAAGTTTTGCAATATGTTAAAAAGAAAACTCCCAAACACTCAAACTTTTTAATCTGTTAACCTGTCTTCCCATAACTGCCTTTGCTTCAGTCTGTCTCCTCCATGAATGTGTTTAAATATAATGAAGTGTACCATCAAGAAAAGGGAAGAGCAGAAACATATCCCAAGGTTACCTACTACAAACAGCAATATTAATTCTCTAAACAGAATTTTCAAGCATGTCATTGGGCAAATGTTGCTGACATAAGATCTCCAAATAATTACAGACTGCAACAGTATTCAGAAAAGTGAAAGTATCTTTGTGAACAATAAATTCATTTATTTGTTCTACATAGATTATAAATAGGACAAATGGCAGAGGCAGATGTATAGTTCATGTGTTACTTAATAGGCAATGGTTTCCTTCAGTAGTAATGACAGTACCTTGACTGATGGTGCACAAGAGAAGAGAGTGTGGTCAAATTAGCAGGGAAAATGGGTTTCATAAATGTAGTAATATTGAACATATTACAACATTGGTATTTGGTCAGATTCTTTTCTTGGCTAGCAATCAGATAGGTAATTCCAAGAGCAATCAGGCAACTCCAGAATCCTCTAGAATTTTTAGGTGGATGTGGTTTCTTCATTTATTTCATCTGACCACTGAGCAATCATCACATTCTCAGGAAGGGAAGCAACATGGTATGTCAAGGTATGGTAGTTGTTGGTATACATACAGCCATTTAACTTATCCTTTGTTGTTTTTCTTTTTTAATAATTAAATCTTTGTGTGATTCTTGACTACTTATGTTTTATTCAGACTAAATATTACTGTTTGAAACTAATAATCAATAAACATGTATGAAAACAACACGGGGCTAGTAAAATTGATTACAAATCTAATATTACTGTAGCCACCACTGCCTCGTGCTAAAAAGCATTTATCATATTAAAATCAGACAGCTCTTCTGCTTCACAAAGGGACTCTAGCTCTGCATTATAAAACAGTTCAATGTATTTTCAAATGCTTTGCAAAAAGATCACTATTTTTCTATTTAAAAAGCAAGGGAATAATCATATTAATTTTTCAGCTAAAAACTTCCTAGGAGATTTTGGGAAGTTCCTTGAATGAGGACCCTTCCCCATCTTGATTCTGCAGTGCCCCTGACCATTGGGTTCAGTGGCACTCGGGCTCCCATACACCTCTGTGTTTCTGCACAGACCCTCAGAAAGCTTTTCCTTGTGCTGGTTTCTGAAGTTTGTAATTGGCCTCGTTGCCTGTGGCTGGCACACGGCGTGGAGGGAGCTTCCATTCCTTATTTTGCATGTGGCTTTT